CTTTCTTTCTTTCTTTCTTTCTTTCTTTCTTTCTTTCTTTCTTTCTTTCTCCTGTTTTTAGGGAAGGGTCTACAGGGTTTTCAGGGTTTCACTACGAGATCGGACTTATAGTGATCTGTCTGTTTATAGCCCCCTAAAAGCTGGGATTACAGGCATGTGCTGCTGTGTTCGGTCTCAATTGACATCTCAGCTTGCTCCAGGGGCAGGGCAGGCATGGCAGGCCCAGGGACTGAACCCCCAGCCCCTGAGCCTGTTTGCAGGCACTTTAATCTGTTCAGCTATTTGACTGGCCCTTATCAATCACTTTTCTCTGTGGCCCCATTTATTTATTTTTTCTCATTGAAATGAAAACAAAATAGATAATTCAGCAACTACTGTTAATTAATTATCTCTGTTTTGAAAATCTGCCACATATGTATTGATGTATGTTACTCTGCTTCTGTCATTTTTTTCTATTTGTTTTTGCTTCTGTTTTCAGTCTTCAAAATAAAATAAAATAAAATAAAATAAAAAGGGGAAAAAAAGAAAGAAAAGAAAGTGTGCACCAGAATGACACCTGTAAAAAAAATCACAAAGGGCTTCTGAGACTCTTTCGGTGTCAAATATATGGCAAACTGTGATTAATACTTCATGCTGCTTGGAGAAAGATGATCTTCACAATAAACATTACCTACAGTACATTGACTTCTTCTTACTGAGAATAATAGGGAAAATATTCAATTTTGGAGGATGAAGAAACAGAGATGAACTTGTAGAACACATCACAAGAAGCTTCTAGATTCTGTGCAAGACTAAACATAAAAAAAGATTCACAAGCTTACAGTAGCAATTCTGACCCTGGACTGGTAGATAGTGGTTTTGGAGAACTGTGTTACCTGACTTCTTTCATTGGTTTATTCTCAAGGATTTAGTAAGGAAGACAGAGTCAGCCCTTCTATTTATGGCTCCATAGGCTCCTGTCCTGAACATCACTGATTCTTGCACATTGCAAAAGCAAGGGAAGAACTGGGAGGAAGGTTGTGTTTCACTAGCCACTGTTTACTACTTTAAAGACTCAGACACTCACCTGGCTGAAGAAAATTCCAGTTGGAGAAAGTTACAGCTTGCTTTATTCCACCAGCTGTTGCCCAACTATATTCTCCACGGGAATCTACATCTCTCAGGCCAGTCCAGAAATATTTCTGGAGAGATTTATCATACTTTTTCATCATATCATTCAGGAATTCTTGTTCAAATCTACAAAAGAATCAAATTTGCAAATGCCTCAGAATCATGAAATAGCTTAAAGGTGCCCTTTTTCTCTTAGGGAGATTCAGAGTTAAACCAGGTTTTGTGGTGTATGCCTGTAATCTCAATGTTAGCACTCTGGATTTTTTTTTTCTGGTTCTGGGAAGCTCGCAACCTTGTGCTTTCCAGGCATACACTGTGCCACTAAACTATATCCCTGGTCTAACAATCTGGGAGGCTGAGGCAGGGTCACAAGATTTAAGCTTTGCCTGGACAATTTAATCACTTAGCAAGACTGTCTCAAAAAACAACTGGGGTTGTGTTTATGAAGGTGCTAGGTTCTCCCCAGCCCTGCAAAAACAAAACAAAACACCCCTTAGGAGTACACATTTACTGATGGTCACACCTGCTAGTGATAGTCAGATTGCAGTTCATTCCAAAAGGGACTGCATCCTTGTAAATCTTGTAGCAGGTTTCTCCATGTCTCTTCCAGCCCTAAACCAGAGGAGAAATATTGTCACACTTGATGGTCTCCCTCAGACAAGAAAGTTTCTGTTACATTAATGTCTTACAAGCTGTGGGACCTGAGCAGATAGTCAGTCTGCTTCACAATTTGTAAGTATAGGATGAAGCTTCATAGCTGACCACCACATATCTAAGAGCTTGAGTCAGACAAAAGTAGGCATAATTCTCTTTAGCCTGAGTGCCTGGCTCACCGTAAATGGCATAGCTATTGACTAAGTTATTTTGAAAGAGACTATTACCAGTGGAGGAGGTAAAGACAGCAGCATTGAGCATAGTCATCATTAGCACTTTTACAGAAATTCACAAATAGGTAAGTCTTGACATCTGTAATACTGGCAATACATTGAGATTTCCTGACTTCGAATCTGCTCTCATGTTAATGAACAGAGCTAGTGATTTCTTCTATTTTCTAATTCTGAATTATCTGTGTTCCAATAACCACCATGCTTCTAGCCAAGAAGCTAGAATTCTGTTTAGGAAAATTTATGAAGGGATTGTACATACCTCATCTGGAGGACATATCTTATCGGACTCTGTATCGTTCATTTTTTCTCCTTTTTTCTTACATACATATTTAAGTTTCTCTTCACATGACTGGGTTTTCCATTGACCTAGCTTTTAAAAGACAGAAGAGCGTGTTCTCACAAAAGAAATGATTTGCCATATGTTTGGAATTACTCACAAAAAGCATGAGGCAGTGGGGAAGAGAAAGTTGTGGCTGACCAACTCTTATTTTACGATGAAGCCACATTGTGGATGATCATTTTCTCATACACATAACAATGAAAACCCCAAAGGACACAGAGTCTAGAGACTGAAGAGGTGCCAAGTCACTGCTACAGGATACTCTAGTCTTCTTTATGACATGGCCAGAGCCTATGCACAGGTGAAATTCTGGGGTATGTCAAGTAACTCTCCTGTGTCAGCTTTCTCATGTCCTTAAGGATAATGGTTGTAGGAACCATTATCTGATTATCTGATTTAAGAACCCTTGAATCAGAAGTTGTGTGTTTTTTAAAAATTTTAACTCTATGTCAGGCTAAATTTCAAAGTTGTCTCTTTAAAATTAAAACTAACTTTGTTTCATTCTCTCAGTCACTTTTCTGTCTTGTAACGGAGTTTTAATAGATGAACAGTGATGTGAGTCAGCTCTGAACGCTGGATGCCACCTGGGCGATGCCTTGAGTTCACTCTTGCCCATGTCACTCTCTTCCATTTTCAATATTATTCTAAAGTATCCTTTATATCTGTTCTAAAAATTTTGTTAGTGCATATTTGTACATACACATGATATATTTTGATCATTCATTCCTCCCCCACCTGTTATCCACCCTCCCTTTCTCTCCTCCATTCTCTTTTTTTTTTCTCTGACTCTCTCTCTTCTACTTTCATGTGTTTCACTCTCCTTCTCTCCTCCCCAGCTTTCTCTTAGAAGAAATGTGGTATTTGACTTTCTGAGTCGGGCTTAATTTTCTTAAAACAATGAATTCCACATCTAGCCATTTTTCTGCAACTAATATGATTTTGTTTTTCTTTATGGCCAGATAACATTCTATTGTGTACCTCTACCACATTTTCTGTATCATTCATCTATTAACAGGCATCAAGGCTGTTTTCATAGGTTAGCTATCATGAACTGAGCTGTAATAAACATGTGAATGTTGACTTCAATTTTTCTGAGAATATAGATGGATCAAATGGCAGCTCCATTGTTTAGATCTTTTTGTGGAACTTCTACACTGACTTCCATAAAAGCTATTCTCTTATTTACTTTTTTGTTGCTGGGACAAGATACTCAATACACACAAGTTAAAGAAGACATTTACTTTAGCTCACAATTTGTAGAGGTTAGCTGGCTCCAAAGTTTGGCAGCATGGCAGATGGCATGACAGGCAGGAAGCAGCAGTTGTCCTTCTATTTCTCCTTTCATTCTGTCCAGGTTACGAGCCTGCTGGTTGGTGTCACCCACACCTGGGGTAGGTCTTCCCTCTTGCATAACTCCATCACTCACATCCAGAACTATGCTAAACAGAGCAGCGAACTAATCCAGTGCCACATACCCACAATCCAGTCACCCCCCCACCAAAGCCTCACCTATGAGTACATGACATTTTATTTCATCTTTGGGGGTCATCTAGATAGAAACCTTAACAGCTAATTTACATTCTACCAGCCATGTAGAAGAGTTCCTTTTCCCCAACATCCTGGTCAGCATTTTTTCTTTGTATTTTTGGTGGTAAGCATTCTAATTGAGGTGAGACAGAATCTCAATGTAATTTTGTCATTTTCCTGATGGCTAGAGATGTTTAACATTTTTTCACACATTTATCAGCTATTAGTATTTCTTCTTTCTAGAAATATATTTACTTCTGTTCATTTGCCTGTTTGTTATTTGTATTTTGGTGTTAATTTTTTGAGTTCCATATCTTCTGGATATTAATCTTCTACAGGTAGAGTCACTAGCAAGGATTCTTTCCTATTCTGTAGGGTGTCTCTACATTCTGTTGATTGTTTATTGTGCAGAAGCTTTTTAATTTGATGTAATCTCATCTTTTGATTCTTGCTGTTATTTTTTGTGCAACTGGAGTCCTATTCAGGAAGTCTTTGTGCCTATGGCTGTTTGCCCTATGTTTTCTTTTAAGAATTTTATAGTGTAGGTCTTATATCTAGGTTTTTAACCCATTTTGAACTGATTTTTGTAGAAGGTGAGAAATAAGGAGTTAGTTTCAATCTTATACCTATAGTAGATAACCTTTTAAATATATCAACACTTTTCCAAATAAATCTTTACTATTGAAACCTATTGCTTCCACTTGAGTCTCTAGATGTCTATGTGACATAGCCAACCTCTCAATCAAGTAGAAAAAATATCCATAAGAAGGCAATAAAAGAGGGCTGGGGAGATGGCTCACTAGAATAAGTGATTGCCTAGCAAGCACAAGGGCCTGAGTTCAATCCCTGGCTCCACCAAAAAA